CCCGCTTTGCCCAACTATCATCAGATTGTCTTAGGTTTTTGAAATGTTTTTATTCAGACTGTTAAAATAACCATTGACAGTATCAACTGAAAAACATCTGTATTTGTGGATTTACATTACCTGAATTTAAAAATAAAATCACTAGCATTCAAAACAAAAAATACACGAATATATTTATACATTCAGACCTACATTAATACAGTTTAAGGGTATGATGAAAATTATAAAAAGGGAGCCGTATTTTATGTTTATTGCAAAATTAAGTACCTTCTTAACCTGAACTTGCTGGATACACAATCGCTTCATAAAAACATTGCGAAATACTGCTATAAATTCATATCCGAACATATGTATTTATTTTGACCAAATAAGACGTACAAGTCTCTACCTTATGCAGATTTTTCTAAAAGACATTTTATTACGCACCGTGAAACCTACACGCGGGTCGCGGAATTTGCATTGCGCAAATCCCGCGCACAACCGGCACAATCTTGGCACATACTAAATAAAGAAACGAAAGTAATCTCGCACCACCATAACCGACGGACGTGTGCGGTTATGAACATTGGCCGGGTTGCGCATTTAGACACACAGAATGAGCGGCGCGATCGGCCGCTGCGCCGTCCACTTTCACCGGCCGCCATCTTGTCGGCCCTGTCGCGTTTGGCGCGCTCATTGAGGAATTGGTGCGCCTATTGTTGCGCCTCGGCATTGTCGCGCGACGTCACGAGGTGTCGTCGAAGGCGGGAAACGATAGAAGTTTTTTTTTATCCAAGGCTAAATTCGATTTCGTGAGCACACCTTGAATCGCCCCAACCACTACATCATGTTTGATACACCACAGATCCTTACAAAAGAACACCGATTCCTCCCAAGGATGATTCGCGAGGCTATTGAAATTATAAAAACATTCGTATTACCATAGAGAAGAGGGGTTGGGTTCTAACATCAGCATGGGTTGGCCTATCAATAATTAAATTAAATCAAGTCCCAAACAAACTACAACTCCAAGACAAGATAAGATACATTTAGTATCTTATCTTGTTCACCCGTCTGCATAGATTGGACCAAAATAAATAATTTAAAAGCGTCAAACGCCTCCGTCTGGCCAGACCATGAATGCTGTAATGGGTTCGAAACGTAGAGAATTCTAATTAAAAATAAACTCGATAAATCCGTAAAAATAAATTCATTTATAATATATAATCGCGTAAATATATGAATTATCATTATTTAATTGACTTTTAAAGTTTTAATATCCAATTTAATTTATGGAAGAAATTCTCCACCTAGAGCATGCTCTACCTAGAGCATTCTCCCCTAAATAATTATCTATCCTAATTTATTATATTAAGCATAGAACACCTACTCTAAGTTAGAACGGTAAAAAAATATTTATTCATACAAATCAAATCCGGGTTTACGAAAAACCACCGTTTAAATAAAAAAATTAAAAACTAAGATTAAGAAATATTTTTTACAATCGTTACGGAAGATTAGGCAGAAGAGCGCTTGTATTCGCTTTAAATTCGATATACTGGAACAGTCCGACTTTAAATCCAAATATTGGGAATTTTTATTTTAAATTCACCGACTGAGGTGCCTGACGGTGAGGCATAACATCAACAAATGATCTTACGGAGAAATACATACATCGTCTATTACATAAAGTGGGAACATTTATTAGAAGGCTCATTAGATTACTTTACTACACTTGTTTACTTTACGAAAATTGCAATAACAATAGATGTTTGAAAGAATACAACGAGTCCTCTCTACAGATAGAGTTATGGTGTTTCTTTTAAAAAAGTATTACTTATTCACATTACTACTATTACTATTGAGTTTTATTTAAACTTAATAAGAATTAATTTTCAATGCAATGATTTCGGATTCAGTTATTCCTACAAAAGAAGTAGCATAATAAATACGGAAGAACGTTTCGATATCTACGTAGCGAGTCTCTCCAATTAGTCGTCAGACGTCTTCAATGCGCTCAAGCTGTAAGGAAATCTCGCAAATTGGCATTCAACGGCTAACAAAGAAATAAATTGCCGTCTTTTCCCACAATAATACTCAAAGTCTGAAGGCATTTTATGGGTTCCGTAATTCCTCGCCCTTTGAAATGTCGCAACCTCAACGTGACAAATTTTATGATTCATTATATTTTTATCATGCTAAGTAACTGTGTAGCTGGCTTTCTAATCCACCGATTTAATATAAAAATACTCCGTGACAACGTTCTAAAGAAGTTCCTATAATATCGGATACATTATAAAATTTGAGCGATTGCAGACCTCAAATCGCACGCAAAAAATAATTGAGGTTTCTACTTAGAAACAAGAAATTCAAGAAAAACTAAGAATTATTTATTAACAAAACCAAAGTCGTTTTCAAATATCTCACTATACATTTTCTATTTGATTTTGAGGAGTTCCCTGATGTGTAATGCATTATAGCTATAAAATTAATCTGGCATCACATGGGAGCTAAACGTAACCCAAGCTAAAAATATTTTTTTAAATTGGTTCATAAATTACAAAGTCCTGAGGTGACAAATCATAAAAAATACAATCAAATAGAGAACCTCTTCTAGTTATAAAGTCTGTTGCAAAATACTTTTATAACATTCAACAAACATTAACATAAATTAATATTCTCATTAATTTTATAAATATTCTTTCAAACATGATTTATTTTTAATGATAAAAAATGCATACTAAACTTTTATAAAAGCGGGCAACTTTTATGGAAGTTATACTCTTTTGGCGCGTTTGAAAAAATTTTTCAAAGTAAAATTTTTACGATGCGCGCGAACACCGGCGGCCAAAAAGCGACTTATTGAAGTTGGTTACTGAGCGACCTACTTCGCGGTATTACCATGGCAACCAACAACTACTTTTTGATAGTTACCTATAATTCCAAGTTATTGAATCAAACCGTTATCAATCGCATTTGATGTCTTTTCCACAAACAAAGAATACTGGTACAGGGGATAGTAAATTTTACTCATTTTTATTTTGTTACGCTAAAGAAGTGAAACTTCTTCCGGGCGTACATAAGTTCACACATACTTTTTCAATTAAAATAACTACATACAACACTTCATACTTTTTTTTAAGTTATAAAAAACACAATATTAGAATTTGTGTTTTTATAACTTAAAATTTATTATAATTAATGAATATACTTTATTAACAACACTACAATACTGGTCGAAAACGACTTTAAATATAAAAAACGAAACGTGTTCGGTTGTAAGCCGGAATTGGTCGCTTAGCAGTTTGTTTTTGTCGTCTTCGGGACGCCAACGTCCAGAACAAATGGAGCCATTACGGTCCCGGTGAAGGCTCTGTTATTGAATACGGCCGGACTTTCTGAATTATCTATACTTATTTGGTTTGCTTAACGTTGTGTGACAGTCACCTCTATTGCTCAAGCTTCTGTTATTTCTTTTACAAAGCGTATTGACAGGCGTAGAGTCGTCGCGTACCTTATGTTGAATTTGTGTCTTAAAAATTAGCAACGAATAGTAACTATTTCAGGAAATGCGTTGAGATTAAAATGAATTAATGTTTTATGTCTGTCCTATTTAATAATTAACGCTTTCCCGGGTGGCGAAATTGTTGATTTGAAAAATGTTGTATTTTGAGATGTACTACGGCAAATATTATAGGGTAATAATAGTTATACAAACTGGAATAAGTAAGTTTTAAATATAATATTTATAAATGTGCATTAATAAATGTAGACGCATTTATTAAAACATATTTGTAAAGAAATTTATAGTTTTATTCGCCCCAAGAGGCACAAATGAAACAATATATGAAATTACCTGCAGCTGAAAATATTTTTTCTAGTTCGTCGTTTTATTCTTCCAATGCACACCTATCTCGCATTCACCTCCATACAAAGGGGTTACGTGCATATTACTCACTTTCATTAACGGATGACGTCATCGGGGCATACTAACTTCGACCGAGTGCACTTTGCACAGCTGTGTACACTATCCGACACCAATGGCATTTTATTTAACCCAATAACCTGCCAACAGCTTCAGTGTATTTTATCTTAGGAGCATATCGCGTAATTAACGATAGCGTAATTGTGTTACTACATTGGCGATGCACCTTACTAACCAGACAAAGTGCGAAACACACACAAAAAACATAAATCCACTTTGCACTTGCGCCCGGTTAGGCCGTGGTACTTCCGGGCGAGCAAAATAATTGTCGTAGAAAGTTGTGAAGTGAGCAGGCGGTTCACGTGATGTTAAATGATTACAGCCGCCCATGGACATCTGGAACACCGGAGAACGGTGTAGATACGTTGACAAACCTATTAAAAAGTTTGCCTCGGTTACCTTACTCACCAGATGAAGTTCAGAAGTAAAATACTTTCATCTTACGCCCGTCTTCTGTCGTGGCACTTCTCGTTCGCCGGACGAGCCTGACCATTCGTGCAACATCAGAAACTACTGCGTTGACCTTTTGATGGTAAAACAAACCTTTGTAATATAATCAAAATATAGCAAAATAAACATTTACAGTTTGAAGGTCATGTTTAGCAAATTGCAGCGGGATCGTACCTATCGGCTTGTACGAGAGTTTTCCATTTTTTTATGTGAAAAGTTGCCAAGCGATCAGACGGTTCGCTTGATGTTAAGTGAATACCGCCGCCCATGGACATCTGCTTCACCCGAGGGTTTCAGATGCGTTGATAACCCCTTGGAAATTGGGCTCCGGCCACCTCACTCACCAGACGAAACGCGAAAGTATTATACTTCCACTTTACGCCGGTCTTCTAAGAGGACGTGGTAGTTACCAGGACGAGCCTGTTTTAACAGTAACATTATGACATCATCCGTCTTATTGTACAGAACCGTAAACCGATAAAAGTTAACGGCGCGACGACCGCATGTATAATGTTTAATTTAATACTTAATTTAATGCATATTTTTCTTCGGACGAGATGTTTAATGGAATGCATTATTGTTTCAGACGGCGGCCGTAAGGAGCTATCAATAATAACATTAACAAGTAAGTGTCGAATATGTTTAAACAGTTGCTAGCTAGCTCTTGGTAGCTTTAGGGATATCGACCGACCTTCGGTTACGCTGAATATGCATGGGTCAGTAATGAATTTGCTACAGTTTTCCTGAATGCCGTCAGACTACATACAACGTCGCCAGTTCGAAGGTATCTATCTGGACACAATGGGCTACGATTTGTGTCATCTACAGCTTAAGGCCGGTTCAAACGAACGTGACAGACCTGCATAACCCGTATGTCAAACATAATATCGATCTTAAAGCAAATTTTAATGCTTTTTCTCTCCTGTCATTTGAAATGGTGAAAATATTTTGGAAATTAAACAAAATTTGCCTCGAAACTATAAAGTTCACGTTACTTGTTATGTGTTTTATAAACCTAATTAATAATATACATAATTTAATAGTAAAAACAATGGTAACTGAATATTGAGTAAATCTGGTACAATTTATATTCAGAGGAAATTAGTTCCATTAGTTTTGGCGCAACGCAATAAAAATAACAAAACAATGTAGTTAATAATAAAAAGGCAACTGTCCTGTTTTCAAGATTTCATCTACTTTATGATAAAAACATGTTTGACGTACAGTTTATCACGTCACTGCATCGAATATAAATAGAATAAAAACCTGCTTAGAAATATTTCGATTATTGCATGTTTAAAAAAAATTCTCTGTAAGAAGATGAATTCGTAAATAATGGACAAATAAATATTAGAACTTTTGAAAAAGTAAAATTAAACAAACTGTCGCTACCCGGCGTTCGAATATTAATTGATCAAATCTATAAATTAAATGTTAATTTTTTCTTTACTTTTTTTTTCGTTAGGTATGCCGTGATTGGGTTTTAGCGAGCAAGGACGCCGTATACCGAATTCCTGGCCATTTTTATTGTTGCATTCCATTCGTGTGTTTTATAGTTTAGAATAACAGACGCACGCTTGTTCGCTGACTGCGGTGATGTCAGACACCGGTAACAATAGAACCGAGCTGTGTAGACATCGATATCTGTGTTCGAAATTGTTTTTTTCTAACACTGAAAATATATCAAACGGTACAATGCCCGCGTAATTGGTAATGTAATTTTGGTATGGCATTCTGTACATGTCACGTATGTATATTTCTTTTGTAGAAACCCACCAGTGACCTTCAATTCTTTAGCTTTAGATGAAGTCAGTCAACCCCGAGTATAAATCAAAATTTATTAAGTTAAATGTTAGTAGAATTCGTAGCATAGTGCGATATTATGCTGCAAAGTTATTTCTCACGATATATAAAATTGCATTATTTTTATTTATCTTAGTCCTTGCGCACTTGAATCAATATTACATAATACTTAAATCACAGTCATCACTTAAATGTTAAAACTGTCACCGAAACCCGTCTTTCCAATTTAGAATACACGCAATTCATTTGAATAACAATTACAATATGTAATTGTTGTAAAGGTCAAAGCTTCGCTAACAATAACTGCATCTCAGGAACAGCGTAGTCAAACATTCTCAACCGACTTCAAAAAAGGAGGCGGTTCTAAATTTCCTTCTTATTTTTTTTAATAATGTACACATTCACTTAATTACACATTATTATGGCTTCGTGTTCTCAAGGGTCTGCTGGAAGAGAACTTTTTTAGGGTTAAGCTCGCCTTTGTACATTATGTGTACAATAAAGTAAAATAAAACTTTCTATACATCAGAACTCCGTCATTTGTGAAGCGATTTTAAAAATTCTGTTTAACATTGGTTTCGTTTTAGTTTCCACGTGTATCCATATTAATTTGATTAGTATTGGACTTTCTGCAAAATGGAACATATAGTGAGTGAGATATTAGAATTCGGTTTAGTTTTTTGTCAATAAGAATATAAATCATGCTCAGTCGCAGACACGTAATAAAAAAATCTCTACGTTTATTCGAACCCACCAATGTTGCGTTTGTGAGTCTGAGAGAAAAAAAATGAACGGCCGACTCCGGAAACGTGTCGACAATAAAGTTATGACCTCGCTTTCAAAAGGGATTTAAAAAAAATCACCTTTCTGCTACAAAGGACTCCATGCACGTGTTCCCGCGGGAGCGTCCCTTTCAACTTGCATCGTCAGACCTGCACACCGAATCCTTTTCACTTTTTTTACATTACACTTCACCTGTATTCTTTTTAGGGTTGTGTACCCGGTAAAATGGGTCCCGTTTATGTAGTACTAAGAATTCGCTGTCTGTCTGTCTGTCCGTGTGTTGGCTGATCCGTGATAGTAAGGCAGTTGAAATTTTCAAAGATGATGTATTTCTGTTGCCGCCATAACAACAAATACTAAAAAAGAGAATAAAAGATATTTACTTGGGGTTCCCATGAAACAGATATGATTTTTTTCCCGTTTTCATAGATAATGGTACGGAAGCCTATGTGCGCGAGTCCGGCTCGCATTTGGCCGGTGTTTTTAGGGTAGAAGGTCCCACGACAGTTCTTTTGCCCTTTAATGTAATGTCATTAACGTTTGACACATGTATATAAAAATATTCCTAGTATAGGCACATGAATAATTGCTAATTATTTTACATTATCTGAAAATCTTGATAAGTAGATTAGATTCGGTTTTAAAAAAAATACATCTAGCTAACGAAAAATCGATCTAGCTAGGTTTAATTTTAATAAAATGTGTTTTTATCCCTGTTTTCAGGGAATGAAAAACATCATTCCAATATGACGGTAAATTTCGCCGAAAAAAAATCGTTATAATAGCTCGGTCGGTAATCGGGCGGCCCCGAAACAGAACGCCGCGGTTCGTGTTACGATCATTTACACACTTATTTTTTTTACTTTTTTTCTATACCAGATCATTGCTTTCTTTATTTTTTATTTTTTTATTCCAAAATACACGATAATCCAAATATACCAAAAAAAGGTATATCGTGTATTTTGGTGGTAAAGGTCCTCCAGGTACTTAATTATTTAAATTAACGTTTCTATCTGTCAACCGTAACACCATGGGTCTTAGTGGATGGCAGATGTAGATAACATTCCTTTTTAATTTGGTAACGATAGTAAAATAACAACTTAGTTCACTTGTGTTGTCTTTTTCTGGTTGAATACTCGTAAGACAGCTTAAACAAAATAAGCTTAAAATCACAAAACGCCGCCAAACTCAAGTTTCACTTAAAAAACCAAAGTGGAAAACGATATTCCGCGTATGGTAATCTATACAGTCTAATCAGATAAATAAAAATCTTTTTTTTAAATGCTTATGGATGGTATATGTATACATGATACATATACCAAAATAACATTTTTTCCAATTTTTGTCTGTCTGTCTGTTTGTTCCGGCTAATCTCTGGAACGGATGGACCGATTTGTACGGGACTTTCACTGACACGTGCACGGTTCAATAGTGGCAATTGAAATATTAAATTGAAATTATATAACATTTCAAACACGAAAAAACGATTTTAAAAACAGACACTCAAAATATAATATTACATTCGAACATAGGACATCCTCTTGTTTTGAAGTCGGTTAAAAATTAGCTAGTTTATAATTATATTAGCGTCCAATTTAGCGCGCCACGACGTCACAAGCTCACAGTACGTTACTCTCCCCTACGCCTACAGATAAGGAGGCAGTGACACTTGGAATCACCTTGGTTTATTTTCTGCCCCGCTCGGAACACCTTGCCTTTCTTTGGGATATTGACGCGAGGAGCGATTGGATTGGAACGAACAAACATTGTTTTTCCAATAATTCCCTCGCCTTCGAACAACATGTTTTTATTAAAATTTTGTAGAAAAAAAAGCACGAAAAATAAGTTAAGAAAGTTTTTCGAAGGGAATCGAACCCACGTTTTCGGGATTCGCGCCCTGACGCTTTAACATTATTTAATTATTATATTGTTCTATTCATTGTCCAACAAATTCTCGCTAATTAGGCTTACTCATCCATTATTAATTCATATTAATCTTATCCTTTAAACGAGCAATTCTTGTGTGTACATATATAATCGGAATCTCGGAAACGTCTCCAGAGATTTCCATGAAATTTAGTATGTGCGTAGATTCGGAAGCGAAAAACCGATCTAGCTAGGTTTCATTTTTAGAAAATGTCCTTTTATCCCTGTTTTCAAGGAATGAAAAATATCATTTCGAATATGACGGTAAATTTCGCCGCAAAAAATAGCTCGGTCGGTTAATCGGGCAGCCCCGAAACAGCCGGCCGCGGTTCGTATCACGATCATTTACACACTTAGTTTTTTTACATTTTTCTTACTAGATCATTGCTTTCTTTATTTTTTTATTTTTTAATTTCCAAAATACATGATTGACCAAAAAAAAAACCGACCAAAAAACCGGTGCTCCAGGTACTGGATTTTATAAGATAATAATTGATTTCTTTTCTTTTTAGCTCTAGTTGTTAACGAAATGAAATTAAACGTGAGTTTATTCAAGCAGCCAGGATTCGAACCGGTGCCTTCTAGGTAACTACTAGAGCAGTAAGAGCGTCTGAACGAGTGACACAGAGCACAGGTTACGCACAAGACGCAGTTTGACATCCTGATATTATCGCCGAAAATTACTTTACAGTTTATTTATTGAACTGGCATTTAGATAAAAATAAATGATTTGGAATGTTGTGTATATCTGATGCTGGCTGATTGCGGACTATGAATTGCAATATTTTCAATATTAGTCACCATTCTTCATCAGTCGAGTTCTCCGTTTATGATCTATATCAAACGCGATAAGATAGGAATTTCACGCGTACATCTTCCCATGTAGTGCAAACGTTTCCGAATCGAGCGAATTATTTCGGCATTCGATTTTCATTCGAAAATTATCTCGAAATTAATACAAATCGAATTTGAATAGAACAATAATTGTGTTATTCGAATGCGTTTGATACGATTCGATATTCCACGACAGTCAAACGATGAAAGCCACGTATTGCGGGTGCAGGCGACACTGAGGCGCAGGTAAAAGGGACGCTAAGGGGATTCCATAAAAACCGCCCCAACTATCGCGTCCGTCGCCCTTAATAGTGAACTTGACCCATTGGGTCGACGTCCGTGCCCGAAAGAAGTCACCCCCCGCCCGCTTGGGGCAAACAAACGCTCTGTCTGATCAAATTTACATCGGCATAGCAACATGCCATAAAGAGTACTCTTTTACTGATAACCCATAGGGTAAATTGTTGTGCAGGCACTGCCAAAAGAGCAAATAATTTTGAGAGAATGTTGCAACTAGCTGGTGGTTCTACTCATTATGACCATATCCACGGTACTACAGTGGCTGCCAACCTGTAAGAGGCTGGTGCCCGGTTCCCTCACTCTTTACTCGTAAAAATGCAAACCTATCTAGAAATGTGTACTTACGTTATTGTGTGATACAGGGCCAGCTCATTCACGCAACAGCACATGCTGTTTCGCGACTACCACGGATAAGAGGCCAACTGCGCGTACAATTTGCCACCCGCTGGCGTTCTCGCAATATCGGACGATGCGAGCCGTTTGGCCGGTCCCGGCTTCGGCAAAAACGTCTCCGCTACACCGAATTCGATTCGCGGTACAGTACAATGGGGTTACGGTTCGCGCGGGCGCCGCCGGGGGGGGCGCAGGTCAATGACGTCCGTCCGTCTGCGCCCCCCCCCCCTCCGGCCCGCTCCCCTCCCCCCGAACCAGTTCCCGTCCAAGTCGCGTAGCTCACCGCCACCTCTACTCTATCTAGTTTACACCGAGACACTGCACCGCACTGCCCTCGGTTACCTGTCGAATCATCTCGTTAGGCCGCATTCTGTCCGCCGCAAAGGCTTTTGCACGCCGCCCGATTGCTCCGTAGACCACCCGCGGCCGATTCCTCCAACCTCCGAACTAGGGCGCGTACACCGTACCGCGTCGTTAATAAGGTGGGTACGTTATTGAGCGGGCAACGCTACCACTCATACCAAATAATAATTATGTTTTAGCCTAAAAATTGAAATAAATATATTTGTTTACGTATAGTTATTGCATTTCATGGGACATTACTCGGCCAAATCATGTCTCAAACGGCTGAATAATAAAACATTGACCTCATCAGACTGATAGATCATCGCATGTAATTCCTCTCAAGTTGTCACTTAGCACATTCGGGATAATTGTTTGTCTAACCCAAACGTACCGCACCCCTGTCTATTTGTGTACTTACACATTTGCATGTATTCATAGAAAGTTCGCAGTCTGTCCCCGATACGGGATTGTATTGGAATTTTAAGTGCGACCTCTTCGAGAACTCGAGCACTTTAGTTTCTTCCCTCCATCGCCTTACTTCAGTGGTTTTACGCACACGATAATTACGGCGCTACGGCTGCGAATTTCTCGAAATATCCAGACGCTACGGTTAAGAATTTCTCGAAATTCTTAACTAAACTCCACAAAACACAAAACATGTTCATCACGATTCAAACACTTTGTCCGTGTAAATATTCGTGTAATTGACGATCTATCCAGCTTCATAGAGAGTTTTCAACTCGCGGCAGAAAACTAACGGGTCTCGGGCTCTACGTATTTTGAGCTATATAAAATTAATATTTGTAACTTTGAAATTATTTACAACGGACAAAAATTAATGATTTAAAACTTGTAGAAAAAGAAAGATTTTCGCTGCTCCGATTTGAACCTGCGTCCTTCATGACTTCGTGCCCGACGCTGAGCTAATCGGCTTACGACGACTAAAATCTATCTCATTTGCCGTCATCTAGTGTTTCTATTACAGCAATAGCTCTTTACCTTATGACATTTACATTGAAATATTTGTCCAATAGAGATATCCTTAGAACCTTTGCTATAAAAATTTAAATTATAAATTTTAACAGTGCTATTCTCTGCACTAAAGATAAAATTTTTAGAAAAATATGAGGAAGAAGTATAAACTTATAAAACACACAGCCTATATACCATGTCCTACTACTGCTGGCCAAAGGCCTCCTATGTACAGAGGGCATCAATCACAGGTCGTCACTCACCTAATGGGTCGTTTAAAGTCGTCTTAAGGGGTCGTTCTACACTGCGATGGCCAGTACGAGGCTTCCACTCGAGAACCTTTCTTCCCCGAGGTTATCGGTTCTTACTACTTATCTGAGCTAGCTTACTACTTATCTGAGCTATGGCGGTTATCTTTGTTCTACTGCGGATATCGACGGATCGACTTTGAGCTTCCTCATACAGCCTGCAGTCAAGAACAACGTCTTGGTTCCGTACTTGGTTCATCACTGGCAATACACATTGATTGAAGACTTTGGTCTTCAAACATTAGGAAAATTAGAAGAGAAGATTGTCCGTCTAAGTCCTATGGATGTCTTTTTAAATGTTATATCAGCAGCTTTAAAGCTATAGGTCACTTTATCTATCACTATTTTATGTATACTATGGCATAAATTGAAAAAAAATCGGCATTATACGTCGTTGAAATCTGTATCCAAGTCCCTTGACTTGAAGGTTAAGTTTTATTTGTATTACAACAGATTTGGAAGATTTCTCTTGAAATATGAAAATCAAAATATTTATACAAACCGATAACAATAAGTGAACATATTAGTATAAAAGTTTAGTCTTTATTTATATTTAAAATTAAGTAAAAAAAATTGTAATCTTTAATTGTTTTTATATTACACCATTAAACTGGTGAAAAACATAAAAGGGCGAATTGTTTTATCTAAACAAATATATATAGACAGATGAGTTGCAACTTATGGATATGAAGTTGTTGCATAAACTTTTTTCATTCTTAGAGGCAAGCCTCCGCTATTTTAAGAAAATTTATTCCGCACTATTATTGTCATTGCAATCTTAAAGTCGCAATTGTTTATGTTGAGAAGAATAAAATAATTGACGCACGCGTGATTAATAGAGGATCAGTTCGATGCAGGCACATGCGCAAAAACGTGAGATTTGTTTGTTGCTGTAAAGACAACATGTCTCGGCTATTAATAAGTCTTTATATTGTAACTAGGTACTTTCTTGTTTTGCCTAGATTCTTGTTTAAATCATTTCACAAAGTTCCTCTTTCTCTTGCCACACTTGGTGGGGTCTTCACAACATATCCCTTCTTTCTACCTTTCTATATCAGCCGTCTCCATACTCAACCTTTTCAAAGACATCATTTTTCACACAGTCCATCTAAACCTTTAGCCTACACACTCCGATCATTTATATCATACTCGTCGTTTCACAACTTCATTCCTTCCCATAATGTCGAGTATTGAAGTTAATTCCAACCTTTTCCTCAACACGAAACTTGACAATGTATTGTCACAGATTTATCCTTAAACTGTTTGGTGAAAGTTGGCGAAAAGTTTCAGCAACAAACATCGGTATTGTACAAATACGGTTCTCTCTTCCGCGATAATTCTATTAATAGAAGAATTTTTTATTTATGGTATTAATAGCCATCTCCGTTAATAACCAAACAGATATAGAACTTTTTAAGAAATTAGTAGCTTGTTTGGGTTATTACTGCTATTTTGATGGATGTAAAGAAGTTATCTAATCAAATTCATTCGAACGTCATTCGCAAACTTAGTAATCACGTTTTTAATTTATCAGGTCCACGTGGTAGCTGTTTCTTTTGTGCAGAAGTAGGAATACTAACCAGGGAATAATAGTGTTTTTCGACTGGGGACGGAGGCAGCTTGGGTTCACTCTTTTAATGTAGCCATCGACGGCAATAATCACATAACATCATTCAACTGATGTTGATGTTATGTGATCATTGCCGTCACCAACCCGCTTGGCCATTTTTTCTATTTTATTTCAAGGTGCGAAACCTAGGTTTCAATACTAAAGTAAGCGGTTACAATAGAAGTAGGTAGTGTAGTTGCCAACCGATGGCAGGTTTCGTCATAAGTGCTTTTAAACAACCTCAATTTGATATTAAATGTTTGACTTTGATTTTGATTGTCTTCCTGAAAATAACAGAACCTAAAAAAGGTAATAACGGCTTCCAGTTAATACCGACAGCGTAAAAGAGATTCCAGGAAAGCAACGTACAAAGTTCAACAATTCTGAAAGACCGTGCCGTCTATGAATGCCGGTGCCCTCTCGCGGGCGAAAATCACACCTTCACTATTTCCGATCGTCGTTCAAGCTAACCGCACCTGTCAGTTTACGCTACTTTTGTATAAGAAAACAAGTGAAAAACTTAAGTTTCTTATAGAGTTTTAGCGGGAAATAATCGAACAGGTAAACTCTGATTCCGACCAAATTCACTTTCAATATTTGATCGATAAAAATGAATCTCTGTATTGTATCATGTAAACAGCGCGTTCAAACAAATGCTACATTTGTAACATATAAAATAATCACACTTAGTTATTAAGTGTATTCATTACAGGAAAAAAAAAAGAGAGGTAAATATTTTGTGAACAAAATTTGCAATGTTTAGCTTTAACAGTTACGGATATATAAATCAAAAAATATAGTTTCGTGTGAATTTCATGAATTGACAATACGCACGTATGAAAATTGTTTTATTTTCACTTAATTACTATTAAAATATCAAACGTGTTCGTATTCTCTAAAAAATACAAGTCGAACTTGGGGCTAAAGTATCGCATCTGTTATGTTTGATATTTTAATATTACTTTTCGTCGAAACACGTCAAAGTAGAGACGTTTAAAACCATATGGTCTATCTATATATATATATATATATATATATATATATATATATATATATATATATATATATATATATATATACATATATATATATAGATATATATATATATAGATATATATATATATATATATATATATATATATATATATATATATATATATATATATATATATATAACGTGTTTTATACATTTTTTAATTGATTTAAAGTATTTTTAAAGCATAATTAAAAAAAAAACAGCATTCTGCACTCCACTATAAGTGTGGGAAATTTCGTACTCCTCCGACCGCGCAATTTTCTAAAAAGGGAAACAAAGTTTTTGCTTCACGTATTAATGTGTAGATAATATGTATATGCTTTCAATTATTTCGCAAGGATATCGAGCGGCGGCCCGTATAGTTTTCCCCGTAGCGCCTCAACACGCGGATGTGATCGTTGGGGTCAACGGTTCTCCTTGATGGGGTGTTCACCTCGACGACCTCATGCTCGGCACGACCACGCCACGAAAATAAAACCACCGGCGACTGTCCAGAGCCTCGTCAGGAGCGATCGCTCCGTCAGCACTGTCGAGACAAAGGAGCAAAAGAGACTTTATATTAATTGGGTTGCCAAGAAGAAAATAACGGATGTTTAACTAATTCATCACCGGTAATAAGAAAGAATTGGACATTATTTTAGGTCAATTTCCCTGCGTCCCTGGGTACACTCACAGTATTGTCGTAAATAGCTTATTGTAATTTAAAAATATCAAAAACGCTAAGAGCTTAAATACTAAGCAATTTCCATTAAATCACATATTTAATTCGAACATGACCTTCTTGGACCGGATTTGCGAATTAGGTCATCGATACGAAATAAAATCGCAAGTGATGGAATATAAGTAATTTTTATCACTGCAGTCGGAAAATGAAAAGATAATAGAAATGGTTAAATATTTCAAATAAGGCTTTCAAGAATAGATGCATAACCCGATTTTAAAAGGTCAATCCGTCAGTTTCAGCTGGTTATTTTTAAACTATGCCCGTTGGTCGCTAAGTGGGCCACTAAAAGCTCTCAATATGTCAATTATGCACGTTAGTCTTTCAGTCGAAGTTAATCAGTAAGATTCGGATTATAAATATATCGACATTTCACGGCTATTTATGCATTCGCTTGAAATGTTTTCGCGGTACTTTCATTTGTATTAACATCCACCGAGAATAGGTTGTCAGTTATTGTGAAGAATGCGAACATAGTTCAGCGCGCTCTGATATTTCTGTCCATTTCGCTATGAGGGGAATTAAAACTGGTCTAAATTCCGATTTACAGCAAACAAAGCCAGTAATTCTGACTGAAACAATAGTAGCAATTAAGTCGGGTCGCGGGCCAAGAAGCTCCGTTCGTATGTTTACACGGGAAAATTGGTCGTTCCGCTATATTATGCTAGTTGCGATGAAGTTACCTTATCTACGATCGTTTATTTGAGTCGTTAGACCGTTGCAGTTGTTCTGGTGAATAGATATTTGTCGTCGAAATTTAAAAGGTTTTAAAAGAAAATTAATTTAAACATTATGAAAAAGACCATATCGTATGCAAATGTAATGTTTTAACTAATCAAATGCATGTATCGCGAAAGTTAAGACTGCCGGTTTGCCTTCTTGGCGAGTTCCTATATGGGTGACCTTATCCGCACCTGTATTTTCAAGAAAAACGAGTCTCGACGAACCGATCGCTATGAGTTGCCGACACAAAGGTCGACGAATGGCAGAAAAACACGTACCTATTAAAACCAAGCTCCTAATGACCTGTGAACGAATCTAAATTCGTATTTCGCGCCCTCGTTGTTTTAAATTTTTAAACGACCGCAACGGTTGCAAGTTTAATTTATTTATCTAATCTGATGCAAATTACAAAACAATTTTCTGTATGATATGTTTTTGTTAAAAAATTGGAAAATGTTTACACACCAAACGATTGCATTTTAAATTTAAATTATAAAACATTTCATTAATTACTAATCTATTCGATTTTATAGTTTGGAACAGACGAAAATATCAAATGTTAGTATTGAAATATTCGATCCAATCAAGCGAGCGATGTCGTGCGCGCAACCTTGCCGCGCGCGGCGCAGGTCAGATTTTTCGAAGGTCGATGACTTGCTTGTAATCGCTGCTAGTTATTATTATTTGTTAGGCGCACCCCGCGCGTTGTATATGATTCGAAGCGGTCGGGCGCGCGACAATAGATTGCACGATTATTTCTTTGATACATCGTTCCTTTTTCGAAATCTTTAACACTTTTTATTTTTATTGTCTCATTTCTGACTGTTGAAATAAACATATTTACTATTTCTGCCGCTTCACTTTGTATTGGTGACTTAATAATCACAAAACTATTTAAAAGTAGGTTGTGTTCGAAATGAATCATTTAATTTTATTTATTACTAATGAAACAATTTAGTTTACGAGGTACAGTCTGCTGTAGAAGTTATTTTATATACCATTTTCCATGATTTTTTGCAGCAAGGCATTGGTGGAATAACAGAGGATAGGTAAAACTTTCTGAGATTACGTAGGTAGGTAGCGTGGACAACCTGTTAAACCTAAGAGGAAGCCGCTAACGCAAAACGGAATGCACGCTGCAAATAGACATCTGCAATAACAGAGATGTCGCGGACTGCCAAAAAGTATACGTATCCATGTGCATATAATACTTCACGCGATCTTTTAGCGATCTTTTAGAAGGCCACCGAGTATGACCCGCTGGTCTTCTGAGTGTAAACACCTCTACTTCTCTCCGTTGTGTGTTATACATTCCCGGGCGAGGCAGTAACATTTCGGTTGGGCCAGGAAAACTTCTGCGAATCGACGGTTTAATAGAAAGGTTCCGTAGAAACATAAACAGGCCTCAATACAGCGGAGTCTAAATACTTCGCGGCCGTGGTATTCCCGGGCCCTTATACGCGACGCTCGATCTTTGTGTATTACGCACGGCCAGACACAGACACAGTCGCCAATCGAGCTCGTAAGCCCCGCCCGGAAGGCTCGCTCCGTCGCCCCCGGCTTCGCGTCGACCGCTCTCAACTGACGCGAATCATAAATCTTAATGTGCCCCGATCAATATTCCGCGCTACGATCCATGCACTCTCCGTATATTGCACTATGTATGTGTGTAATGTGTTCGACTCGACGGCTTCGCGTCTAAAACAGTGACGGAAACATGAAAACTGTAAGCGACGTGTCATGTTCATCAAACAATTTATTTGAAATTGTTTTAACAAAATAACAGCTAAGTGACTGGTCTAGTCTGAGTCGCGATTGCTAAACATCTGTGGTTTTAGAACATGTGCATGTACCTATATGGTCTGTAGCTGAGTCATGGTGAGTGAAGTGTCGCCAAAACGCGCCATCGTCATTTACATTTTGGGTTCCCGGCAAGCAAATCATATTGCTTTGATTTTCGCTGTGTCATAGACGTTCAAACCAGTCTACGTACCATAAATCTATTCTACTATAAAAAATAAAACTTTTACTAGATTTGACCTATATGATAATATATGATAGAAAATATTCAGTTGTTATAAGATTTATAAAAATTGTTTGCCATAAATAACTCTCCATCAGTAACTTTTTTTTTAATTTAAATCTTTTAAAGTATTTTGTACTTTTGTTAAATGCCTTATTTTACTTTATATATTTAATGTCTAATTGTTACGTGACAATTTTTTTAAGAATCATTATCAACAAGATAAGGCAGACACGGAACTATTGTCGTAAAAATAAGATAATAATTATATCTATCAGAAGTTCTAATGGGTTTCGTGTGCTTTTATATTTGCGGAAAATCACACGACAAACGAAAAAAATTGTGTAGAAGATAAATCAATTACGAAAATTATAGCAGGACCAGGTACGTCGTACGTACCATTTAATATTTCAAAACAGTGTAAAATTTAGAAAACAGTAAATTGGCAGCATTGAATGTATTTAAAATTAATTGTGAAACATTCTGCAACAGCGGCCGTTTTTGAATAACAATTGACTGGCCGATATGGGTCGTCGTCGAAAAAGAAAAAAATAATCGACCGGTGGTACGCATCTCGCGAAAAAAGCGCGAAATTGCCGACCCACTGACCCAATTGCGGTGTCCGTGAGCGCGGCAAGGTTAAACCCGTCGGCGCGCGGCTAGGCACTTGCGACACGGCCGCTATAGTCTATTCTCACTAACGTTGCATAGATAAGCGATAGAACATATTTTGTAAAGTAAAGAAATATATACTCTGTTCTGTCAGTCGCCTTCGCATGGAGTTAATAGATTTAGGACGGTATTTCTTCTCTATTTGATGGATGATATACGAATGTTACGGTCGTATACATAAACTTGTGTAGGAACTAACTGTTTGGAATGTGTTGATAGCTATACGGAACGCTAACTTCAAATAAGAGCGACAGAAAACTAGAAAGATTATTTTTGATTAACATATGTAAGTGTATGAATGACATCGCTATATTTAAATTAAGTTATAAAATTAAAAATTGTTATTTCTTAATTTATTAAATTAAGTTCCAAACATTTGTAAAAATATAGTACCATTATATTTTTACAAATGTTTGGAACTTCAAACGAACATTTTCTGGTGTCAGAAAGTCCTGCTCTTCAATAACATTATAAAGTTCAGTACCTTAACGAATTAAAACTATATCGGTAACAAATGAGTAACAATTTCAAGGATAAGGCTAAATTTATCGAATTAGCGTCTAAAATCGCTTTAGAATATTTCAAAACATGAAACTTTAAAATCATTCGGTAGCTATAAAGTCTAGGTATCTAATTCACTTTAAAAATGGCCAGTTTTCTTTTTTTGATTCATAGTGAAAAAGGTGACCATGCCATAGAGTTTGAACATAATAGACCCAAAAATGTACAGGTTTGCACTGATATTTTTTGGACAAAACGAAAACGCGTAAAAGTAATTGGTATGCGCGCGGCTACCGGTGCCCGAATGACCGTTTCGTATAACGGCAACGAATACCTGCGATGTATTCCACGTTTGAATCGTGAATTTCCTTTCGCGCTTTTATACTCTTAAACACAGTTGCATGTGATGAAGTTTGTACTATTTGAAATTTATAAGTACTAATTTTAGGATGCATTATATTTGAAATATTGCTTTAGATCCGGTGATTTGTTGAACTGGTGAACACTACTACAAATTCTTTTTTAAAAAGGTCAGGTCCGAAGTTTTTTTTCGTATTCGCCATGGTTTTATTGTTTCGGGAGAAATAAATGTGTGTCATTACTGTTCATCGTTGCGATCGAAAAAGCATCAACTGTCATTCCGCTTCGTGCTTCCACACGGAACGGACGTTACTCTGAGCCGGAGGGCCCATGCCCGGAAGACCCGGAAGCCATCTTGCAACCGTTGTTGCTAATTCTATTTCTTTTATCTCTTGGTGTGCACTGTTCGCCTCATCGTTGTCGTGTTTCGCGGTCTACGGTTAGGGAAGTCTCAAGCAAGAAGAAAGAAGAAACATTATAGAAGAAAGAAAAAACATTATAGAAGAAAGAAGAACCTTTGCCCGACTTCCGAGCGGATAGTGTTAGTGTAGTGTTGTGCTCGTAGGCAGGTTCCTGTCCGTAAGTAGAATCCAC